TAAGTGCTTGAAAATTCACGAGTAAAACTCGATTTTAAGACGAGCCGTCTTTGTTCAATTATCATCTCGGAATGCATGATACCTCAGTTCTTCACCATTCAATGTTTAGAAGAAATTTAACATAAAACTGGCGAGACCAACCGAGACACACTCATTGTGCCAGCCGACAAGTGACATTGCACCGTCGTATTGGACAGAAGGAAATGGCTTCAGGAAACTAAACACTTACTGGAGAGTTTATTCGTGACTTTCCATTAACATTTTATGAGTCACGCCAGCTGCTGTCAAAAGGATGAGCAGCATGTCAGGACTGACGGCTTCTGTTTTACGTGGCAGAATTGTCAGTCATGCGGTCTTCAGTGCTACTATCAAAGACTTTCTTGCGAATAAAGAGGAACGACCAGATTGGGCTTTCCAGGTGTCGACGCTAAAGAAGTCTTCCAGCTACTGTTGAAGGACCTTGAAAGCACAGTATAGCCCATGCCTTCTCAGAGTTCCTAATGCCCAATCATTCACGACAGACCCTGATGGATGTTCTGACTATTTACGCGATTCTTTACAGGCTAGTAGCTAAGGGTTTACCTAAAGAGTTACAACTCAACACAACTAAGGGACGGGGGATGGTGCCCGTGAAATGTAGGATCTTGGAATCACCTCCTTATCCTTTCTGACGTCCTCATATCATTGCCTCAGGATGGCCCAAAATGCGACCAGGGTTTTTCCTTCCTTAAATGAAGTTTCAAAGATGTAGATAATGATCTAGTTGGATAAGTATAGGGAGGCTTTATGCATTTGTAGATGGAATATGGAGTGTAGGTAGAATGCCTCTGGCTGGAAAAGCGTTAAAACTCGCTGGAAATTCGAGAAAAGTTCAAATAAAACGAACGCATACTTGATGCTTTTAAATGGTTAATCTTGAGCACAGGCAGTTGTGATGAGACCTGATACAGACTTAGCGCATTATGAGGAACTGGGTTTGCTCCCCGCACTTGGGTGACATCTTTGCACTGGTCACAAAAACAAACCGACTTAGACACCCTATCCCATATGGATCGTCGTCCTTGTATATATTTAAAATGGTTTTTGGGGCTTGGAACGCATTTTTTCGAGAAAATTATAACGGCGCACATGACAGTGGTATCCAAACATAAAAAGGATGAATATTTCCCTAAATTTTACTCTTCAACCATTCAAGCAAGACCTCTTACATCAAAAGAACACGTTTTCCGAAAATGCAGATGGGGCTGAGATTTGTTATTCCGCATCAGTAATAAACATTCTAGCCCCCTCGTCCTAGACAATATTGCTGACATTTCCCCAAGAATTCGAAGCAACGCCAATGGCCGGAAAACATGAAAAGCCACAGGATTTCCTTTTAACTAAATTTATTTAAAGAGCAAAAATGGATCACAAGGAGTAGCACATTCCCATGACAGCCAGCATGGGACTGTAATTTTCATCCAGGTGGGAGTAATAGTAGGCGACAGCGGCCAAGGCCAGGATGCCTCCAATCCCGGAGAGTGTTTGGCCACCTCCGCTGATTGCATCCCCAAAAACGGCGCCAAGAATGCCGACCACGAAGGCCACGCAATTTAATGCCAGGCTGCTGATGAGGAGGGCTCTAATTTTTCCATAAATCTCACTATCTGACGAACTCAAGCAGCTGTCTGTGAGGGTGCCACAAGGCCAGTGTCCTAACGCCAGAGCGAGACTGAGAAAGATGATGGAGAAGCAGACGCGAACAGACAAAATAACACCGCCTACGCCCATGTTGCAGTGGTAACAACACCTTCCGAATGCGAACTCCCTGAGCTACAGCTTATGTATCTCACTAACTTACCTCAACAGCCAATGAGAAGCGTGACCTTCCATCTCTTTCTATCAGTTAATTGTTTGTTTTGGTAGCAATGACTCAGGTGGCGGGAGTGCATGGTATTTCGTCTAGCATGATTAAAACGTGCATGCAGAGAGTGTTTCGCTTTAACATAGCACATCTGAAGGGAAAATCGATGAGAGAATAATTCTAAAATTAGACTTCGCTGAGAATTGCAAGTGTTTAGTGGTGTGAGCAACCTAAGGAAGATGGACTCACAAGCACCAGAAGAATATTGAGAACACGTTAGTGCCCTGAAAGAACCTACCATCACATTGGGATGCTACTAATGCCATCTACCTGCCTTCACTGTTCTGCTACTGTCCTTATACTCTCTATCCCTCTCTCCGCCTACTCCTCATTCTGAGCCCCTCTCTCTTGTGATCTCTTCTACTCTCTCTCCTCCCCCTTCCTCTTCCCTCTGCTCTTGATATGATTACATTAGCATGAATAATTGCCGAATTTAAGTCTGCCATACTGAAATACTTGTGCTTCCTTTCTTAGCTTTTAAAACTCACGAACAAATTTGGAGTAAGTGTTCGAGTGGTCCGATCCACGCGTTTGAGCCTACACAGTTGAGGGTGACTATAGTGCGAATGTGGCGATGTCGACCACGACCTCGTTTAACATAAGATATCCTCCTCTTCCAATCTTCTACGCCTCTTCATTAGATGCCGCCCAATCTAGATATGAGCAGTAGCTGGTACAGGGTCAACAGCCATTCCTTCATGTTCTATGGCAGTGAGGCCACTTATCCCCAGCTGGCATTCCCGATGGCAGAAGCGACGCTAGAATCGTGTTGTTCTGCCCTTGGACGGCCATTCTAGATGAAGGTGTAGTCGGTACCCACTTCTTCCAGTTGACCCTATTGAGAAAATCGCGTCTCCGAGAGAGCAGTGATGTCCACCATGTAGCGCGCCAATTCTCGACCTGCAAACATCACTCTCCATTCTAGCGGGTTGTTTCTGG